AAGGTGGGTATAAGCTCTTTTATGTCGAATTTCCGTCCTTGCGACATTAACGTATCGATAGTTTCATGTGGCAAGTAATCCATAAGTATAGGACAATATTTATAGTACAGTTCGAGATTATCTTGTTGCGTGAGTGTACGAAGAGCCTCTTTGAATTTCTTGCTACCAATTTGTTGTTCAATTACCTCCTCATAATCGCCAATGGATATCGCAAATTGTGCGATATTATGCGAATCTGCATGCTCTTTTAACAGATTGCATATGGGCTCTTTGTTTTGGCGGGCACAGTCGGCCACACGTGCACCTTGCATGAACTCATCGAATTCGCTCTGCCATTCGGCGCGCTCTTGCGCACTGCGACGTGGATAATTGATTTGAGTTAAGTAAAGATCAACTAGCCATATGACGAGCACCATTATTTTAGTTGGGTCATTTTCCAACATGGCTAACCGTTTTTTAGCATAGCGTATTATTGGCTTTTTTGTGTCCAGTTCCATAAATTTTAAACTAATCTCCTCGAAGGGCTTAGACGTTTCTGCATAGAAATCGGCTGCTAGCGTATAATCGCCTTTTTCAAATGCGGCATCTGCTTTTTTAATGAGCACAATGTCCAAGTGCTCCGGCTGCTCTGCAGCGTAAATTTCCGCCAAATCATATTGCCCTTTCTCCAAATATATACGCCATATATCACGTTGTTCATCGGTGATCTTGTAGCTGAAGAACATTTTATCCGTGTAAACGTAAATAGTGCCGGTGAATGGATCGCGCAAAATATTCAATAGTTTACCAACTTGCTCATGGAAATACTCTTCATATACTATTTTTTCATTTAGCAGACAAATGCCTGTAATATGATCGGAATAAAGTAAAAGTGCGTGATATTCGGTTAAAGCAAGTGTTCGTGGCGCATTTTGACGACGTTCTTCGTAGGAAAGGTGCTTATATTGCTTGTAGTCCAAATTGATTAAGCTGTCACCAAGTAAAACATTAGTAGAGCGTTCCTCGGTAGAAATCTTAATAAAACGTAAATATAATTGTGAATGCAAAAATTAATGTTAAACAAGAATTTTGGGAGAAATTCCATAAATCGAAGTACTTCAGAGCTTACCTCTCCAAATCTGATACCACTACCACACAACCATGCCCACTGTTTGGGTAGCTTTTCATTTGGTTCGCCATAAAGTTGCAGCGCTGAATAATTCAATTCTGTTTCAATCATTTCAGCTCCATGCACCTGCTGTCCATTTACATAGTTGGCGAAAATGAACTGTAAAGATCTATCATCTGGCTTCAAACTTTCTTGGAATGTGTATATACAATCTGGTGTTGTAGCAATAACCATATATTTATTTGTATTGGGTAGGCGTAATAATTCCAACCCATTTATAGGATACTTTGTTCGCCCCAAACCCAAATCATAAACCTGCAATCACATTACCAAAATAATTATTAATTATTACCATAGTATAATTTATACCTGTTTTCGCTGTAAAGGCGAAAAACCATCTTGTACAAGTTCTGTTTCAAAAATCAAACCACGACTTGTACCCAGCAGTATTGGTCCAGTGGACGATTCTGTACCCATATATCGATTGAAGGCAACAGCTGTAATTTCGTGGTCTTTAAATTTTTCTACGCGTCGCACTTTTGGACCATTTCCATGTATGTAAAGAAAATCAGCAGATAGCCCGGGAGTTTGCGGCACAATCGGTATAAGTGTGTGGTGTCCAGTATAATCAAGAAACACTTTTGAAATTGCATAGCCTGCCAGGTATTTTTCCAAAGGTATTTCTAAAGGCAAAAACATTTTATTATCCGGTACAATATTAAACATACTTTTACAAACCTCCTGGAGGTAACGCTCGGGGTAGAAAAAAACGCAGCAATATTGTTTGCGGTGTGTCCAGCACACAAACTAACCAATTCTTGTTTACGTTCACGTGCATAAGATTTCCTTTATAGGTGGTTGGTATACGCAATGTAATTTGTCTTTTACTAAATATGGGCGTCTCCAGTTTATCAAAGTCTGTCTCACCGGCTGCAGGACAGTCTGCCGTTTTTCCCTCTACTATTGGGAGAAACTTGGCACTCGGTTTATAATTCATCCAGCTATCATCTTCATCAAAAGACGACATTTTAAGTTTTTTATCGGAAAAATGCACGGATAATAAAAGTTTTCTCAGCACAATATTTTATACTAATTGCATTTTATTTAAGACAAACAGCTGATGCACTTTTCTATAGAGCTGCCATCAATCTAAGAATAATGTAAAATCGATCAATATAAATACTATTATCGATATATTTTAGCAAGATTTCATTTAGTGTCCAGCAAGTCACGGCTATCGAAACCCCAATATACGTTGAAGGAATTATCTCGAAAACTATAGAAGACCTTTACAAATAAATAGATGAAGAATCATACATAATAAAATAGTTTCGGTTACAATTGTCACTTGGACCTTGAGAAAGTTGTATAACCCTTAACACGAATCTCGGGTAGCACTTTTGGGTATTTCAAAAAATCGATTTTTTTTTGCATTTATATCATATGTACATATATTTGAAAATATTCTTCGAAAATTTAAAGTGGATCTAGTGCCTGGATTTCTTACATAGAGCCAGCTAACAGCCAGCTGCTCAGAAGCCACCGCACGACTTTTAAATAACACTACATCGCGCCGCTAGCGTCATCTAAGCACTGGCAGGAACGGCGCCTGCGTTTCTTATATAGAGCCGGCTAACAG